GCACATGGGTGCCCACCGGGCCAGAGGCAGCAGAAAGGGTGCAGTCCCAAAAGTGTCCCTGGCCACAGCCACGCCAGCACAGCTGTGCCCTATGCTTTCTCCCCCACAAAGATGCCCATTCTTCCATAGCTTGAGGCTTTTGCTCTATGTGTGGGACACAGCAAAAAGTCTGAGCAACCATCCCCTTACCCCTCCCTTTCTGCTGAAAGAAGGTGACTTGGGGCATGCACCCAGCCAGCCAGTGCCCCAGTGGGGTGGCCAAGATCAGGCACTTCTGCTGCTAACGGGGAAGTGCAGAGAGGGAAGCGGCGTGATCACCAGTGCTGGGTGTGCTGACCCCGAGTGCCGCTGCACAGTCGTGCTGCACCCACAGCCCCCAGCGTACAGAGAGCACAGGGGTTTACAAACAAGCAGTTTGCAAGGGCTGCGCAGTTCATTAGCTGCCTGACTCACTCCTGAGCACTGGTAAAAAATTAAGTATTTGTTGATTTGTGGAGCAAACACTCAAACTGGCATCACAAGAGGGACACTCAGCACACAGTTGACTCCCAGCTTTGCAAGAAACATGCTTTCCTCCCTGAGGCTGCAGATTGCCTGAGCTGAGGGGGACAGACTTCCACCCACCTCACCAGAAGCCATGCCGGAGGGCACCCACCGCCCCAGAGGTGCCAGGAGACTCATTCCTCCCTCTGGACATGCTGTCCTAAGGAGGTGAGAGCTCTCAGCAAGGAGCCCCACAGACATACCCAGGCTGTATTCTCTAGGCAAGAACGAGCACAGCTAAGATATGCCCCACCACACACACTCCCCTTCCCTCCCCTCACGCGCCGGAAGGATTATGGGGCCAGTGCAGGGAACTTCTTGTCCTGCCAGGGCATGAACCTTCCTCTCCTGGTCTCCAGGAGGCACAAAGCAGCTTGCAACCGCTCAGAGCAGGCAGGCTTTGTACAGAGTTCCTGCAAACATCACCGCTTTTATTTAAAGCCGAAAACACAGGATGTTACAGATGAGTGGAAAAATGTGAACTGCCCCACTGCCTGCAGAGCCCCTCAGACTGGAGAATGCTTTTCTGGAAGTCAGAGGGTCTCCAGACAGGATTAGGAAAGCACATAGTGTCTGCTTCAGCTTTTTATTTTTGCCCTGCTTGGCTGCAGCTGCAGCTCCCTGCACCCCACACACAAACACACACACCCCCAGCCATGGTCCCGTACCTTCCCTCCCACTCACAGCTTCCCATAGCCCTTTTGTATTTGACTCCTGGGAGGCCTTTTTCAAACTCCTTTTGTCAGCTCCATCTCTTTGAAACACTGGAAAGCTACCAGCGAAGCCTGGCTCGGGCTCCCCACCGCCAGTGCTGGCAGCAGCTCACCTGCTCCTCTGCCAGGCTCTGCCCCTCTGCAGGAGCCCATGGGCAGCCCCGACCCAAGCCGGGCTGGAACCGCCTCTGCCCCCGCTCAGCTTCAGACGGACAAGTTGTACCATTCAGTGGCTCAACAGCTTGCACAGCAACTGCTTTACAGCACCCACCAGCATTCACAAAATGCCAGAGTTCCCAAAACTCTAACACCTGTTACAGAGTTTCCTTACATAGCTTTGGGGAGGAATCATTAAAAAGATCTCATTTTATTCCTGTTTTGATGATCATGCAAGACAAAGAAGGCCACAGGTAGATTTTTTTTTTCCTGTTAGCATATACTTTTTATTCTTCAAGCTAAACAACCACCAGCCAACTACCTAACATGCTTATCAAGATAAACTAGAGACATCTCAAATGTTGAGTCTCAGAAAACTGGCACTTACGACTTATCTAACCATCCACAGGGTCCTTTACTGATACTACTTACCTTGCAGTGGCTGAAAAGCTACAAAGCAACAGCAGACCTCAAGAGCAAAGCACAAACCACATCAATTCTGCAGAACCAAGTTATATTTAATGGTGCTATGCTTAATTTATACCCCTTGAAACACCTGGCCCAGAGTGCCTTTTAATTGATTACAATTAGAAACTGTTGATTGGCTTGCCCCTAGTGTCAGTGACCGCAATTATATGATCTGGTGAAAAGAGAGGCAGTTACTATTTTTTAACCACAATTCCATTTTTTGAGCATAGTAAAATAGCTAAGCAGTGTATTGAATGACATAGTATTACTCATACGCTTAAGCACCTGGGTCCTTGATCTTGTGCTTTATAAAGTGCTCTGAGCTGTGTTGTAATTGCCTATAAATATGCTGCTGATCATGCTTAAAGGGACACTGTCAAGGTTGGCAGGCCTACAGTTTGGCTTAGTAAAATGACATCTTAAAATAGTTTTATTCTCAGTGTTCCTAAATTACCAGCCTGTGGTTTTTATCATGCTTCTCTTTATCAGTCCAGCTCCCAGGATTAATAAGGTTATGGGAGAACGTTCACTTTTAAAGCAATGGCCCAGTCATAGAAATAGTATGATAGAGGCTAATGTTCCCATCCTGAACACGCAAGTAAAAGCACTTTGCTGTAAAACCTATTTTTCCTGATGTGAATGGGCATGACCTCTATTGCCCTTATGGTTTGCAATAAGGTCACCCCTTGTTGAAGCAACATCTTGTGAAAGAAATCTTCAAGAAACAGCACAGGGCTGAGGGGATCAGGTCTGCAGCTGCACGAAGTACCCATTTTCCGTGGTGTCTCTTTGTCAGTCACTAGTCTTGTCCTAGTTGAGCTAAAGGGGAGGAGATGCAAAAAGAGTGAGTCAGGGAATAGAGTTACAACGCTGGTGAGGAGCCTGCAACTTCGTCTCATCCTTAGCAGCGCTGCCGGCATGCAGAGGGGTGATGGGGTGAGGAAATCCCAGGGACGAGAGCCTTTTCCCGTACTGTCCCTTCTGCAAGCAGCTCTGTGGCTGGAGCCCAGCGGCGGGGGAACTGAAGCCAGCTATTGAGGAGTTTTTTGATCTCAGGCAAAGAGCGGTACTGGGCTTTCTTTTAAGGACAGAATACAAATAGCTAAGGAGTGAAAGGTGGCCTGGGATTATTCCTTTTATGAAGGGCCTGATTTGTTTCTGAGCTGAATAACTCAGCTCCCCACGAGCGGCAGTCCTCCAGCACAATTTGTACTCACGGGAAACCTGCAATGCCACAGTAACCAAACCCATAGGTGCCAGTAAATGAAAAAGTATGGCTCATCGGTGCCAGGGACAATGCAGGACAGGGGTCTGCTGAGGGGAAACAGAGGGAGAAACTGTAAGCGAAGGCTGAGCTGATAGTGCCAGGGTGGCTGTGTAGAAAGGCGTTTTTGGAAGAGGATATGTGGCCTTAGCTCCCTCTGCGGTATCCTGCTAGACTCTGTGCTGCCAGGTTTGAAGACGAAGTCTTGAGTTTCCCAAGACATGGGCCTACAGCCAGGCTTCGCCTTCCTTTCTGACCGGGAGGTGAAAGATTTACAGATACCCTAGATGTGAGGCAGCGTGTTGGATGTGCTCATCCATCACAGGTGTGCATTAGTCACAAGATAGACACTGCCTAAACTCTAAGGCTTGAGGGAAGCCCTGGCAATGTGTAAAAGAAAACTCAGAAAGAACCAAAACCTGGGAAAAAGGCACACCTGCAGCAGCCGTGCCTAAACTGGGCACTGGTGAATGCTCGTGGCCGGTGGCATCACTTGATGCTGCAGTTCCTCAAAGAGGCAGGAAGAGTAAAAATCTTCCTCTTAACTGTTTTTCAATTACAAGAAAGAGAAGAAAGTAAAACAAACAAAAGAAAATCCTCAGGCTGAAGATCCCACAGAACAGAAAAAGGCAAGCCTAATGTCAGTCTAACAACAGATCCAGCTCGAAGTTTCAGCAGGTGGGAAGGTGCTTTCCACGCCTCCAGTATGCACCCAAGAGAACAGGGCAGCGTAGGGGCTGTCTCTCTCACACAGGCAAGCCTTGTAAGGTGTGAATATGGATGTGGATAAGCACATGCGTCTCATGTGCACCAAAGAGTGCACTTTGAGATCTAACAGTTACAGAGGAACACTTGAAAGCGCAACTTGCATATATTTTAAGAGCTTCCAGAAACCAGAATAAAAGCAAAATGAGCCCAAAATCTGTACTTTTAAAACTCTCGTGCTTTTTAGACAAAGCTCATATCTCCTGATTTGTTTTGAGCTGACTCGGTATTTTTAAATGGTTGTCCTTGAGAATTGTAAAAATTGTTTTATTTTTTGTAGGTTTATTCCATAGAAATGCTTAAAAAGCAATAAAGTCAATCTCAATAGCATTGCTTAAATCCATGATTATATCAATTCCATGTTGTGGGTATGCAGGGAGAAACTGAGTAGGAAATTCTAAGGGTTTCCTGTAACAATAGTTGCATTGTTTGTACACATGTATACCATAATAACAGAAAAGCAATAGCAACCTTGCAGTTACAAAAAAATACCCAGTGCCCTTTAAAAATAGGCATGTATATTCTGTGTTTACCTAGATTAACAGTATCATTAGGGACTGATACCCTATGTACACTCCATCTTCCATCTGATTTACTGAAGTTCTGTCTGGGCTTTTTTTTCTTCAAAACTGTGGTTGTGCCTGATGTTCGCCAAGAGGAACCCAAGTTCCATGAAAAGGTAAACACCTGGAAGCTGAGATCAGGAGTGTGTAAGAAACATAACTAATTTTATGACAGTGCTTTATAATGGGCCATGTAAATTTTCCCACTGTAATTGGTATATACATTCAACAGTTTTATTGTATGTCAGTGCACATTATTCGGCACAGCTGCTGGAGAGGCATTGCTGAACTGGTGTTTCTCTTCCATGACAAACACCTATTAAGCAGTCAGCATAAACTCTTCTTGTTACAGCCTCTGACATCACCCTCAGGGCAAGCGGACACAGAACAGCAATTGCTGAACTGCGTATGAAAATCATAGTTTTATTGTCTATACAAGTGAAGGTTTAACTCCGATTCCTGCTCGAGTCAGCTCTGTTACAAAGGAGCGATTCTTTCAGGGAACAAACAAGCACAGTACACCATTGTAATCACAGGAACAGGCACTATTTATGTATTGGAAAGCCTTGTTCACAATAGTGCTAACACTCTAATGCCCCAGAAGCCACTATTTTAGCAGCTGTAGAGAAAAAAAGCATGACTAACAAGATGCCATACAGAGTCAGATACAGTTTTTTTTAGAACACAAATGGAATCGTCCCATTTGATACAACTCAGTTTAATATGCACGACTGATAAGTAGGGATCATGTATTTAATGTTTATATAAGCAGTTTCTCCACCGCAGCGTTCAAAGGCTTCCAGTGTCTCTTGAATCAGATCTCCAATATTTTCACGCTTCTGCTGGCTGTAGTCTATCCCATCGCCTGAATTAACTGGTTAATAAAACAAAAAAATACCAAGGATTATGTTAAATTTGCTGTTACATTTTGAAATAATGACATCGGAAATGGCAATTGCTGGTCAGTCACTGTGCCTCTATTAGAAACTTTGCTCTGTGACACAAAACAGAGCTGAATTTGAAAACGGGATGGTTTTGGTATCTCTTTAAGGCTCTGCTCAGGCTCCAACTTCGTATGCCTTCAAAATTTGTTTATGTACACATTACTTCAGTATCTAAGCGAAAATCCTAATAAAAATAAAGAAAACACATACTTTTATAAGATAAAGATGGACTCTCTCTTACACAGTTAATCTCTTAAGACCATTACTTCTTTATTTCTAACATTGCTTATTTAGGACAAAATTCTACTGCCAGATGCATAAATGCTTATCTACAAAATGTGACTTAAGCTAGACCTGTTATGGATTGAAATCTTAAATATGTATTGTTTTGGGATTGTTCCATGTTAGACATCATATTCACATGCTTATGTTGTTTCTGATAGAGGGGACGTCATGTGGCCTAAAAGAGATATTTGGAGTATAACATGGCACTCATTCAATTTCTGCTCCCTGAAAAACGCGTAAAATTAAGTCAATGTCAAAAGGACAAATTACTGCAGCCCCCAGATGCAGTAACATTTACTGCTGCTTTCTCTAACGTGGACTAGCAAGGGCGACACACATTAATACACACACAGCATAATTCTTTAAAAAAATCAGTGTGAACAACTGTGACAACAAAAAATACAAGAATAAGAAATAACTTCACCTGCAATGATGCTGAGAGATTTAAAGGAGGAAAATCAATTTCATTTTGTTTTAAAACAATATTCTGAAAACTATCTTAATATGGGTATATTCCGAGACATATATCAAAAATAATTTGGTAGGAGCACAATGTACTCAGATCAGGCGCGGTGCAGTGGCCGGGTGGAGCGGCTGTCACACTGCTGTCGGGTAGTCCACACACAGTCAGTGGCCTTACCTCGGGCAGTGGTGGCAATGTGCCCATGTCATACATTTAACATCTCAAATAACACTGCTTGCTTATTGACACTCGCAGCCGGACAGCAAGGGACACATTTGTCAAGACAACGCAATCAACTTCTCGGGTAGTGCCTGCCTTTCCTATTAGAAACACAGCGCACACAAGGGCGAGGATAGATTTTGCTCCCACTGCTGCCTCCACGTCCCCAGGCCGACGAGGTGTAGATGTACAACTGCACCCATCCTCACATCCTCTCCTGGATCTAAGGCCAAGGATCTGGATTTAAAGTTTGTGCCTTTGTTACCAGTAAAAACTGAAGAACCATGGTCATGAAGAAAGAGCTGATGAACACGGGCAAAAATCATCCTTTTGCTGAATTTTCCTGTAAAATATCTGATTGCACTCCAAGTTAATTATGTGTATATCCGTTTTTCAAACTCCTTACACACATTTGTGTCACTTAGCTTTTTGTAAAATGTTTACACAAATACAGATGTGACATACAGGGACTGGGCTTCTGAGTGGAAAGGCAGTAATATTTTTGTGATGATTACTCTTAAGCACATGAATACTTTCCTATATATTAACTATTTATTTCACTGACATGAGAAACCAGCATTGTGACATCAAAATTTACTACAATTAATTTACTGTAATGTTAGAAATAACAAATTATGAGAGCGCATAGAAAACAACAAGAGCTATTAAATAAAAGGATTGGCTTATACAAAATACTAATGCAAAAAGAAAAGCACATTACAACTGAGTGCAATTTAGACTAAACATGGTTTGCTCTTGCAGAAAACAACTGAGGTCAACTGTGCCTCATCACCTGTGTTGCATGTGCACTGCCAGTTGCCAATAGTCTCCAGAACACCTGGAGGTATTTCTGATTTCACCAGTTTGAGCAAGGGAAACCCTCAACCTTGACCTAAGTCTTGGCAAATATGTAAAAGAATTACTGACTTTCCAACCATTTGCCTATTATCTGTAATTTTAAGCCTACACACGTGCTCTGCTAATGAGCTTACACAGCTTTCATCGTTCTTCCAAAGAAGTAGTAAAAAAATCAGCTCTCTGGAAGTAATGGTGATACATTGCTAAGCAAGTTTGGAGGAGGCCAACAAGATGCCATGATAATGCTGGCAGCAGAGGTATTTTCCAGAATCCCATGTTACAGTCTTTATTATAGAGCACAGTCTGTACAATAAATGATGTCTTAGATGCTTGATTGAAAGGTGCCTAAGAGAATGAAGCAGTGATAAAGGAAATAGTCTGCAAGGGAAGACTGAATGTGTGATGAGCAGACCATCATTACAATTTTTTTTTCCTACAGACCATCTGTGCTATGTGAAGGTTTGTATCCTCAAGACAGCCATAATTCACATTAATGCCATGACACAAGTTATAACCAACAATACCAGAAAGGTTATGTCAGCATTGAGGTCACCTGGTAAGTACTGAAATAGCTATCCTATGCGGTTATAGGAATTAACAAATCTTTCAGACAAAAAAGTTAATCATTAACCCAACAGGATAACATCCACTAAATGGATGAGTCAGAACGATCTGCCCAATGCACCTAAGGGTAAATATCTAGTCATAATAATGATGATGATTAGTTGGAAAAAAATAGCTACTGAAGTATAGTGGTCTCGGCATGCCCTTCTCTGGTTTGACTCTATTTCCAAGTTAGTTTGCATGAGAAGCCAACTTTGTCAGCCACAAAAATGTTGCATATGTAAAGTGTGAACATGGATCTGATTCAAGCTCTTTATGAAGTTGTCCTTTGTGAGGGAGAATAAATCAACATGAAAATGCTAGGAAGCACATTTGTCATATCTTTGTCTCAAAGTGAAATGTCTGGCAAATTCAGCATGCATCAAGAACTCTTTTCAGAGCAAATGTTATTTCTGTGTTTAGAAGAAACGCATTGAAGAAATACTAACAGATCTAGAGGATTGCAATCAGGAAAAGCTCTCATTTTCCCTTCCTGGATAAAGAAGTTAGTTCCCAGTCTCCTAAATCATGCACCAAGGGTTTTATGGTCCTTAAAGTGAAGTGAAAGGCTTTACACCTGTCAAGACCTGCGCTAGCTGATGAAATCACCCAGCACACGAAGCCCAGGACTGGCACTCCCTGCCCTGCCATCAGCGCTGCCGATGCCAGCTGCTGTAGCCGAGGAAACCCTGCTCAGACCCTCAGGGACTGAACTCAGTGTTTGGCAGTGAACAGAGAAGGATTTGAATTTTATTTTAAAACGTGGTTTGTATTTGAGTGTAGACATGCTTCTATTAATGATTCAGGATATTAAAGAAATTCTAGTGCTGTTTGTATTCCATCTCATTTCATTCTAAAATTTCAGTAGGGTAATGCTACAAATGTAAAATTGTATTGCATTAAAGAAGGACAAGCAAGTTTCTCTCAATGCATTAAGAACTTGATACGGCAGTTTTGAAGTCCTGGAGTGGACAAGAAAGGTAAACCAACCCTTAAAGCTCAGTCAGATCTACTCTTATCTCTGGACATTTGTTAGCATCTGAAAGTGTCCGAGACATTTTTTCAGTTTATTAGATTTCACTTCAAGGCAGGCCAGATCTCGAAAACAGGGGGTTTTAATCCCCTGAATATGTCCAAGTACCTCTCTGTAAGTATCTCACAGATACCAGAGCTCGCTCCTGGTGGTGGCTTTCCCAAGGTGCACAAATTAAAACCAGAGTTTTCAAGCACCTGTTGTAGGTATGTCATAGATCTTGGAATATTAGAATTTCCTCAAATGTTAAATATCTGAGGAATGCTTAGTGTTGGAGGACAGAATAATACTTAAAAGAGATTTCTGAGACTGTGAAGGAAGCCCCATATCCCCAGCTTAAGCAAAGTTTTTAATGAAATTGTAACTCAAAGGCCATTCCTTTATTCTTTACTGATGAACTTTTAAGTGCATATATACACACATATATATTTCAACTTGTTGTCTTGGAACAAGAGGGTCCTAGCAGAAATTTTTGAACTACTACTAGTTAACAACAAAGAGCTCTTGTATAATGGTTTTGGGGTTTTTTTGTACACAAATCAATAAAACTACTTGGAAAGATAGGCATCATTCCTCCCTTTCTGAATCTTGAGAAACAGAGCTACTGGAAGGTAAAGTGACTTATCATAGAATCATAGAATAGTTTGGGTTGGAAGGGGCCTCTAAAGGTCATCTAGTCCAACCCCCCTGCCGTGGGCAGGGACATCTTCAACTAGACCAGGTTGCTCAGAGCCCCGGCCAACCTGACCTTGAATGTTTCCAGGGATGGGGCATCCACCACCTCTCTGGGCAACCTGTGCCAGTGTTTTACCAAGTCATGGAAGGGATCAGTCAAAAATCACGCTTTTTGACTTTTTATTGTAGATGATGAAAGTACTATTTATGGTAAAATATAACTATGGTAAAAATAATTTTGAAGCTGCTCAGTTCATCCTAGTCAAACCAACAGGTATTTTCAGCAATTAAAATGATTACAGTAATCCAACATGCTAACCACTTAACTGAATAAGATTTTTACTTCAAAAAACCAAGTGATGGGATTGTAAAGTGCAGATATATTTCTCAGTACAGAATTGTATTTCTGCAGAAAAGCCTGTCACAGAACAATATACAGTTAAGCAGTACAAACTAGCATTAAAATATTCTGTGGAAAATTTCAGCACTTTTTTCCTTTTAGGAGTCAGCATCAGTATCAAGAAATAAATGTAAGCTGATTTCAGCTATAGATTGACATGCATCTATGTCAGGGTTCACATCGCAATAGTTCACTGCTGAGGTACAGTTCAGAGTTTAATTAGTTTTTCAAAGTCCTCTTGTTAGGATTAGTTTAATTGTCATAAAAGACGTTGGCTTCCTGACCGGAGTGGAAAATGAAAGCCCCTGATGAGTCAGTGCGGTGGGAGGGAGGAGGGCTCCTTTGCACCGCTCCTCTCACTGTGACTCAGAACTGTGCTTTGAAATGGTCAGCT